ATTCATAAATACTGTTTTCCACCACATTAGCCTTTAGACATTAATGTTATCTTCTCATCAAACAGCTATGAAGCTACATGAGGCTTTTCTTAAGTATTGTTTTCCCTCCTAATTTCTCTCTTGCTTCTTTTACACATCTCCTTGTAGCCTAAGGATTTTGAGATTGTCTTAGTTTCCTCACAGTTCCTCCCTTGAAAATTAATGTAGACACCAGCATCAGAACACATTCAACAAAACCAGTGAGTCTACTTTACAAAGCACAAAGAGATTTCTCATTCATTTACTCAGCAACACTAACTGACCATCTACTAGTGACAAATACTATGCTAGGCACAAGAACACGGTTGAGATAGAGTCTGTGCCTTAAAATAGTCCACAGTGGTGGAATGTGTTGAGAGCTATGCATGAGTACAGGCTGACTCAGCTTAGAGGATGAGAAGGCTATTTGAAGGAAAGGATACCTCAGCCGAGTTTCTAAGGATATACATAGGAACTAGCCAAGTGGTAAAGAAAAGCTGCTTTAGGGGTAAGCTTAGAGCATATGAAGGTTAGAGCACATAGCACCATGAGAGAAATGTAAGTAACTTGTAATGACTGGACCCCAGGGTGCACGGGGAGGGGGGAGTGGTGAGAATGCAGTTCATGAAGTAGGCAAGAGCTAGGTCATGAGGAGCCATAGGCAGCAACTAAAAAATTTATCCCAGCAGCTGTGGGATTCTGCTTACATAGAAATTGAGATAATCTGATTTTCATTTTTTTTTTTTACTTTTTTTTTTTTTTTTTTGAGACAGAGTCTCGCCTTGTCACCTTGGGTAGAATGCCCTGGCATCATAGTTCACAGCAACTTCAAACTCTTGGGCTCAAGCAATTCTCTTGTCTCAGCCTCCCAAGTAGCTGAGACAATAGGCACCTGCCACAATGGCTGGCTACTTTTAGACAGGGTCTCACTCTTGCTCTAGCTGGTCTTGAACTCCTGACCTCAAGCAATCCACCTGCCTTAGTCTCTCAGAGTGCTAGGATTACAGATGTAATCTGTACACTTGGCCTCAATTTTTATTTTAGAGAAATGACCCTCTAGTACATGCAGAGATTTCTCCCAGTTATGCAGAGAATGGATTGGAGGAGGTAAGACTCCAGGCTTGAGACCAGATACCTATATTTGTCTGAGAGCAAATGACCAAAACCAATATTTTCTGAAGCCCTGAGACCACTGTGTGAATTGAATTGGCAGATGCTCTGTCTGTAGATCCTCCTTCTGCCTCTTATCTGAATTCCTTTCCTCCACAGTCTTCCACCACAGGTATCATTATTAATCCTGCAGCATATCTTGATTGGAATGTTTCTCATGTAGTTGATATTTTGTTGCTACGCTGTTCAAATTTAAATTCTATCATCTAGTTTGGCTTCCATTGGGGCTTGGAAAACTGCCATGTACCTTTGGACTTCTTCATAAAAAATAATTTATGAACTTTTGAGAGAAGTTGATGTTCCCAAAGCTACAGGCAGACCCTTGAATTTAGCTAGCCTTAATCTAAGAAGTTATAAATGAGTAAAAGGATTGTTATTCCAAATTAGAAGAAAAATACAATCCTCACATTTACTAGGCACTTCCATACTGAAATTCAGATTGACTCATATTTTCTAGATGCGGCTACTTACCTCCTTAACTGAAGCTCCCGGGGTATGTCTTTAGCCTGGAGACTTTCTTAGGTCTTGAGCATCTAGTTGATACACTCATCTCACCCTTCTCAGTATCCAAGAAGATTTAAAACAAAAGTATGTAACATAAACAGGGTCTTAAATCTTGTCCCAAGAATTTGATAATGACAATACCAAAAGGCCATTTTGGGTTTTGGTCTTCTGCATTAAATAAGCAGACTCAAAATTTATTATAACACTACAAACACGCTATAGGTCATAGGCATCTTGAGTCACATCATATAAAATAAAGTATTTTTAGATATTCTTAAGGAAAGTTCAGTAAGACCAAAATTATTCTTCCTTTTATGGTTAAGTTTATACTAGGAAGAATCTTTTAAAAAATAATCTGGAATTTGTGTTTGGATTTTCCATTTATGACCCCAAACGCAAAACCATGACACTACCAAGGCCTTCTTCCATTGGTGTCTGGTGGGGCCAGCAAGTCCATGTACAAAGTTGTGAGAAGGAAAAGGAGTTTTCCCAGACGTTTGGCAGTGGATGTGCCCCCTTCCCAGTGAACTACAGCAGGTTATGGGGAAGTTCTATGACAGCACAGCAGCCAAAGAATGCTCATGCCTCAGAGTTGGTTTCTGGGGAGGAGGTCTTAAACAGATTTAAACAGGCTCCTGCCAGTACCTTCCACAGCTGCTACCCTATAACCACTGACTATTTGGCCACTTTGGAGCCTGCAGGTCTGATGTTCTTTCCCAAACCCTGACACACATCTGGGAAGGAGCCAGGTGACCCACCTGGCCTGATAAGGTGACTCTTTGGAGTTAGATTTCTATCCTGACACCACCTGGGGCCTATCAGAGGGACCCAGAGGAGGGAAATAGTTATTTTTAAACAATGGGAATAAATACAACTATGTTTCATTTCTATTTAAAACAACTTGGGATTTAAACATAGTCAACACAGATTTCAATAGAAGGAAATTTTAAAGGGCCATATTCCACAACAGAATCCAATGCCCTTTCCTGCTTTTCAAGTTGTGAGTGTTTGGTGAAGGATCCCATGATTTGAAGAAGGCACTAGATGGGGATGAGACCCCATCTAATAAGGGTCATCTCTAAAACTGCCTGATTATCTGGTGGGAATGCTATCTCCTCACTAAAAGCCTGTGGTTAGATTAATGCTAGCGTTTGAAAATCTGCTCAGGCCTGATCGTGGGCGGCCAAGGAAGGAATGTGTTTTCTGTTTATCTCTTTAGTGGCAGAAATGTTCATCACGTAAAGACTGTGAGCTCCCAGTTTTAGGCAGGCCTGGAAGTTATGCAGTCTGTAATCTGTGAACGTGCACACCAGCTTCTGAATGAGCAAAAGAACTGAGCCCTGCGTTCACAACTGGTTGCCTGAGTTGGTAGATGGGTTAGTCATGTTCTCTGACTTTATAATGGGGGTAGATGTTGCCCCATTGTTCCCAAAGGAAGTTTTACACCCCAATTGCTTTATCTCCCAGGAATGCAGTTTGAGTTGTGTCTCTTCCTTGACAGCTGGGACCTCAGTAAATTACCAAGGTCTTGACCTGGGAGATGGAGAAGTCCTAAGTGATTTTTCAGTCTCCTATCTCAAAATGTGTTTACATTTCTTGAACTCTGGCTGACTGATTCATCTCCTGGTGTTACAAGAACTTCCCTTATGCGTTAGAATTTATAAGTTTCATTTCTAAGAGACCCATGGTTCCTTCCAAGCCACAGTGAAGTGAACCTCATCACAACACAATTCTGCTGGGCTGGATTTGTCCAGAGGATGGATCATAGCCAAGCAGCTGTGATGTGGCAAGCTCAACTGAGGCTAACAGGAGGCAGTGAGATGTGGAGGAAAAAGTACAAGACACTAAGTCAGGACATCTGGGTTCTGGTTCCTGGTCTTGCACTATTCAAAGGTATGGCCTTGAGCCAATCAAAAGAAAACGCTCTCTGGGCATTAAGTTTCCCCCAAGCTGATTTAAATAAGATATGTTTTAAATCTATGGAGAAGCCATTTTCTTTT